GCTATTATAAATTATGCTGCTATGGGGATAGGAGTGGATACATTCTTTCTGATTGGTGTTTCAGGTTTCTTAGGACATATTCCCAGAAGTGTGACCACTAGGTCAGATGGCAGTTCCATTTTTAATTTTTTCCCCACATTGTTTTCCACAGTGGCTGCATCAGTTTGCATTCCCAGCAGCAGTGTACTAGGGTTCCCTTTTCTCCACATCCTTTCCAGCACTTGTCATTTGTTGATTTGTTGATCATAGCCATTTGATGTGTGTGGGGTGATACCTCATTGTCATTTTAATTTGCATATCTTTGATGATCAGTGACTTTGGCATTTTTTCATGTCTCTTGGACATCTGTATGTCCACTTTGGAGAAATGTCTATTTAGGTCCTTTGCCCCTTTTGAAATTGGATTGTTTGTCTTCCTTTTTTTAAGTTGTATGAGTTCCTATACATTTAGGATATTAACCCTTTATCAGATGTATCATTGCCAAATATGTTCTTTCATACAGTGGGTTCCCTTTTCATTTTCTTGATGGTTTCTTTTGCTGTGCAGAAGCTTTTAATTTTGATGCAGTCCCATTTATAATTTTCTCCTTATTTTCCCTTGCCCTAGGAGATGTATCAGTAAACATATTGCTACAAGAGATGTCTGAGATTTTGCTGCTTATGGTTTCTTCTAGGATTTTTATGGTTTCACATCTTACATTTAAGACTTTTATCCATTTTGAGTTTATTCTTGTGTGTGAAGTAAGTTGGTCTAGTTTCATTTTTTTTGCATGCATATGTCCAATTTTCCCAACACCATTTGTTGAAGAGACTATCTTGACTCCATTGTATGCTCTTGCCTCTTTTGTCAAATATTAATTGAGTATAATGGCTTGGGTCAATTTCTGGGGTCTCTGTTCTGTTCCATTGATCTATATGCCTTTTTGTGCCAGTACCAGGATGTTTTGATTACAGTGGCTTTGTAGTATAACTTAATATCTGGTATTGTGATCCCTCCAAGTTTGTTCTTTTTTCTCAAAATTGCTGCAGCTATTCATGGTCTTTTTTGGTTGCATATAAATTTTTGGACTATTTGTTTTAGATCTTTGAAATATGCCATTGGTATTTTAATATGAATTGCATTAAATCTGTAGATTGCTTTGGACAGTATGGAGATTTTAATGAAGTTTATTCTACCAATCCATGAACATGGTATATTCTTCCACTTGTTTATATATTCCTCTATCTCTTTTTTCTTTTTTTAAAAGTTATTTATTTATTAAAACTTTATTCTAAAGTTTTACATATGTCTTCTTTTTCCCCAATTGACCTCCCCCCACCCCAGCCATTCCCACCCCGGGGATGCCACCACCACCCCAGTGTCTGTGTCCATTGGTTATGCTAATATGCCTGCATACAAGTCCCTTGGTTGCTCTCTAACTCCCCCTCCCCTACCATTTGTCTATAAATCTATTCTTGTTCATCAAATTATGTTGATCATTATACCCCACATATGAGAGAGATCATGTGATATTTATCTTTCTCTGCAACAAACCTGAACCAGCTACCTGCAGGCTCTTTATTACAATACCCCTCATTTAATTAAACCATGGATTTCTATCAGGTGTGGCCACATGCAAACTAGTCAAAACAACTTGCTGTTCCCCCATTTTTCTTGTCAACCTGTCTAGTTCCACTCCCTGACCCCAACATTTTTTTGTTGGTATTTTTATTGGTATTGCATTATATTTAGAAATTGATTTATGGGAAATTGATTTTTTTTATGATGTTGAGCCTTCTTCAAGCACATGGTATATGTCTTCATTTGTTCTAGTCTTTTTGCCTTGAGTAGGATTTAAAAGTTTTTGTCATATAATTTTGCATATTGTGCTATAATTGCCATTTATTTTTGTTTGCCTTATAATAATTAATGCAAGGGGGGAATAGATATTTTTCTGAAACCCCCCAAAACCTGAAAAAGATTTTTAATATCATTTGAGTTATGATAAAAATCAGTCAATGTAGTTAGTGGATTAAATATTCCAAGGTCAACTAGTAAATTAAAATTCACTTTTCTATAACAAAAATGAGTACATTCTTATTTTATATATCAAACAAACAAACAAAGATTACATGTTCAAGGTTAAGATTGCCATAGATTAGTGAGGCAGAAACTCCTGAGAAAGTTTTTCATAAACACAAATTCAATTTCACAAAACCTGGAAAAAAAAGTATATTTACCTAATCTGGATTATCTTTATATTTGTAATATCTTTAAGGTATCTACTTTATAATTATTCTCCAGCCTTCTTTACCTTTACGATTATAAATATAATCTCAAAGCCCTTGGTCAATATTTCAGAATGCCTTCGTAATGCAACTTAAAGTTTGGGAGACACGAACATAAAACTACGAATACTACCCAAATAAATAGGTAATGCACACTGTAATGAAAAATGCTGGATGAATAAGTGTGAGCAAATAATATGAGGTCAGAGGAAAAAAATAGTGTAAAACTTATAACGGTTTAAATAGTTTCAATAAGCAGCGATAAATTAAGGAACGCAATGCAAAGTTCACATGACTTTTTCGTATGGGGTGTGTGGGTTGTGGGGAAGCCACCAAAGCAAAATAGCGAATCTTCCAAGTACAGTGGGGCCTTGACTTACGAGTGTCCCGACTAATGAGTTTTTCGAGATACTAGCCATCTCTCAGCCGATTTTTTGCTTTGAGTTGCGAGCTAAAATTCGGGTTACGAGCCAGCTTCAGATACCCCACCGCTAGTTGGCGCAGCGAACGTCACAGTGAACGCCACATCAGCCCAGCATCACGTGTCTCACTCGATCACTTTAAGATTTGACATACGAGTAATTTGAGTTACGAGCTCCGTCACGGAACGAATTAAACTCGTAAGTCAAGGCCCGACTGTAATTGTGCCTGGCCGGCCGGCCACCTCTCAGGCCAGTCTCCCTGCTGTCCATTCCTCCAGCCGGGGAAGTTCTTTGGCGAAAAGGGCGCTTCTGTGGACAAGTTGAGAGATGTACCGACTGAACCTCTGTGAGTTTCTACCTTACTCGGTGATTTTAAGAGGAAACAGGTCGCAATGCTGCTGGTATCGTGCATGCAGCACAGTGACATTAATCCTGGTCCAGGGGACCCCACGAAGCGAAGGAGGGCGGCTCCTCAGTGCAGTCGTCCCGAGCCCCCCGGGAACCTGGGCTGGAGCACCCGCCCGAACCGCAGGCGCACTCAGCCCCGCGCATGCGCTCTCGGCGGAGCACGCCCGTTCCTTCCCAGGTAGGAAGTCCTGCTTGTTTATTAAATTACGACAGCCGTAAACCGAGCCTTTGCGACGGCTTCCGAGCTTTACGACGTCAACAACGATGGCGGCTGCCGGAGGTCGGTTTGAAAGTGCGAGGAGTATCGAAGAGCGTAAGGAGCAGACCCGGATCGCCAGGGCCGAGGTGTTGCGCCAGGTACTTGGGTTTTGGGGCTTTTGGAACCATCTGGAGCTGAGGGAATGGAGGTCTCTGGGAGCGAGGCCTGGCCCTCCCCCCACTCTACCTCCTCTCACCGCCTCAGTGTCATCTATCTGGGCGAAGGGGTTCTCCCTGTGGGACCGCGCGAGCTTTGGGCATCTCCCGTGTCCTGGAAGCGCTGGCAGGTCCGGTTGCTCCTGTTCTCTCCGGGAAGCCCTGTGTCTGTCCTCTTGAGTGTCCTTCCCTCTTCCATGGTTCTTCCTGGACGTGTCTGGTGCCAGGGACCCCGCTGCTAGGGACCAGCCTCCCCGGCGTGTTTCCCAGCCCCAGCTCTCGCTCCCGCTGTGGGTGAAACGAACATTCCCATTTCCAGGAACACATGCGAGACGCATTGGGGTAAACTGTGTTTGACCGTTTCATGCTGTCGCACTGTTGGTGTCAATTCCTGTCGTGTCCTATACCCTTACTGATCCGAGCGAGGGCTGACAGCAGAGACCCAGAAAATTCAGCTCCTCGAAAAAGGTTGAGGAACACTGTATTTCTCATTCAGATGGAGAGAACGGAGGCAGTGAATGGTATTGAATGACCTGAAAAGGGGTAAGAAGTGTGGCATTGAAGGGAAAAATGGAGGGGAGATCATCATAGAGTACAAGTGAGGGTTTTCCTCTTTATTTGTTTGGAGATAGAAGGTTTTAAAGGGCTTTCAGTGCCGATGAGAAGGAGCAGGTAGAGGAGACAGGGAGAGCAGGCTTAATGACCACAGCCAGATTTGAAAGGGGGGGAAGAGTGGATGGTTAATCTTGGACAAGTGAAAGGCCAGTGTTCTTTGGTTTCAGCATGTGTAACATGTACAAATTCTATACCAATAAGAGGGTAATATGCTAATTAGACCGGGAGACCTTCCCTACGTCCTTCTGGACAAAGCCATGGTGGCGGGGCGAGGCAGAGGCAGTTAGGGATGAGCAGGCGGGGTCGGGGGGCAGTTGGGGGCAATCAGTCTGGCAGGGGCGGGCAGTTAGGGGTGATCAGGCCGGAAGGGGGGCAGTTGGGGTTGATCAGGCCGGCAGGCAGAGTGGTTAGGGGCAATCAGGCAGGCAGGCAGGTGAGCAGTTAGGAACCAGCAGTCCCGGATTGTGAGAGGGATGTCCGACTGCTGGTTTAGGGATGTCCTAAACCGGCAGTCGGACATCCCCCAAGGGGTCCCAGATTGGAGAGGGTACAGGCCAGGCTCTGGTATTTCAGACAGTTTTTGAAAGGAGTAGTGTTTGTAAGCTGTGATAAATTTTATAATAGAAGAGATACATAGAGGTTGAAAGTCCCCAGCTTTGGACTTTGGGGAGAGAATCAAAGGGCAGGAACAACCTCCCAGGAAGAACTTACTTTATTTGACTGTTGTTGAAGAATGAATAAAAATTAGCAATCTGATCATTTGTTTTTAGAAAGATGATTCTTCCTGAAGTACTTTGGGGTTGTGGCAAGAGGGTTATGGGCATTGCAGATACGATAGAAGTTGGGAGGTCAGTCACTTAGCGACAGAAGTCTCAGGCAGTAGCACCTGGATGGTGAAGGGGAAAGAGATGTGAGTCAGACTTTAGGTTGGGAGCTTAAGGAAAGGGAGGGTCTAGAATAGGTCCCAGGATTCTGTCTTTGATTGGTAGCTCAATTCAGTAAAGATTGGTAATTTGATTGGTAATGTGGAAAGAGAGTTTTTTTACTAAAATCTTTTCTACATTTTGGTAGCAGCAAATTCCTGACAAGGGACAGTTGATTCATGAGAACATGTATGAAAGTGAGAGAAGATTTTATTTTACTTTTTTATGAAAAGCAGTTGACTAAGTGTTAATTCCCCCCCACTCTCCCCTCCCCTCCATCATTTTAGGCTAAAGCCAATTTTGAGAAGGAAGAAAGGCGTAAAGAACTTAAACGACTTCGGGGTGAGGATACATGGATGCTACCTGATGTGAATGAGCGGATTGAACACTTCTCACAGGTGAATACTTGATGTAAACCTGTTACATGTCTGACTTTTTTTGCATTTACTCAAATTAATATTGGAGGAGCAGCTTTATAGACTATTTCAAAAGTTGCAGAATGAATATCACACAGTGGGCATTACAGAAAAGTTTTATCTCTGGCAGAAATAATATATTTTAATATTTTGGACATTATGACATTGGACAGATTTTATTACTTGAATTGGCTGATAGAAAGCTTAGCTTCAAATTTCTGACCCTCTTGTAGCAAGCTGATGCATTTTAAACTTTTGTCATGTGTGTTTTTTTTTTTTTGTCTCAATACTTGTTTTCTCTTTCCATAATTTTAATTTATGCCATCTTGTTATATTTTAAATGGCCTAATAATCTTCTATAAATTCTTTGGGGCCACAGAAGGATATATGCATACATATGCGTACATACATAGATATGTTTGCGTATATATGTTTATTTGATTATATCTGTCTGTGAAATGAATCTGCAAATAAATTAAAACTTCACTTATTTTTGATAAGATATCTCAGCTCTATGATTTATTAGTAGTGCATATATTATAGAAGCATGTTAAGGTTTCTTTGAATATTTTATTCATTTTGTCATGTTTCTTGTCTCATTTTCTGAAAACTTAAAGTTTTTTAGAACATAGAATTTTTTCCCCTTAAAATACTTCCTTTTAAGGTAAGATAAAATTCAATTCCCTTCTTACTTTTTCAAAATGATTATTTATAGGAACACTCTGTGAAGAAAAAGAAGAAAAAAGACAAGCATTCAAAAAAAGTAAAGAAAGAGAAGAAAAAAAAGAGCAAGGAACAGAAGTATGAAAAAAACAATGAGTCATCTGATAGTTCATCAGTAAGTATATGCTAAAACTAATCAGGCATCTACTTGAGAAAATTTTCTTTAAAGAAATAATATATGGAAAATTAAAATATATGAGAACTTAAAAAAAATATTACTAGTAAGGATATGAAAATGCCTGGGAAACATCTACTTGGAAATATTCAGGAGATAGAAAGGTAAGAAGATGGAGATGAGGTTTGGGAGTCACTGCTTATTGAAGCCATTAGAATAAATGAATTGCCCAGGGAAACTGAAAAGAAAGAAGAACACCAGCACTGAGAACCAAGAAAGGACACTCAGCAGAAGCGGTTGGAAAACTAGGAGAAGCAGGGGCGTACTGTACAATTAAGGGAAGGAGTTCCGAGGCATTGAGAGTCTGTTATCCCTATTTGTTTTTTCATAGAAATTAATATTTAAGTCTTTAAAGTAGAACATGTTTATATATTTTTTTTGGGGCCAAAAGAAAGAGAATGCTTGGTCTACTCTGTCTCTAGCCAGTTCTGGGATGACAGAGGACTCACAAAGGAAAGGAAAGCAGGCCAAACTCTTCACACTTATTTTCAGTAAGAAAGAGATATATTGTGCTTACAGAGATCATTAGAGATAATTGGTCTCTTAGGAATGATCTTCACAGGTTAAACTCAGGTGAATCACCATATTTCAAAGTCTGGCCCTCTTGTAATTTCAGAAAGGAAATTTTTGGCAGTATACACTGAGATGAGAATTGACTCATGAAAGCCTATCTTACATGAGAATGAGGTACATTGCATAGTGAGAAATACAACTGAATAGTTTTGTCAAGTAGCCAGTATATCCTATGTAATAAAGAGCTAATATGCAAATGGTCTTCACACCTTCACGCCATCACGCCATAACAGCTCAGACACTCAACACTGGGGAGAGAGAAATGGGGACCAGCCAGGCTGTGGCCCACGGTCCTGGGTGCCAGCGGTTGTGCCTGCGGCCTGGGAGAGAGACAAGCTGCATGCCCCGGATCCCAGGCACCAGCGGCTGCGGCTGCGGCCCGGAAGAGGGATAAGCTGCCCGCCCCTTGGTACCGGGAGCCAGCGGCCCCGTGGTCCCCGGGTGCCTGCGGCTGCAGCTGGCCTGGGTGAAGCTGGCCTGGGTCCTGGGTGCCTGCAGCCGGCCAGAGGGAGGGAAGCCTGGGTCCTGCGTGCCTGTGAGCGGCCGGAGGAGGGAATCCTGGGCGCCAGGTGTGGGGTGAGGCAGAGGTGGTTAGGGCTGATCAGGCAGGCAGAGGTGGTGAGGGCTGATCAGGCCAGCAGGGGAGCAGTTAGGGGTGATCAGGCAAGCAGGCAAGCGAGTGATTAGGAGCCAGTGGTCTCGGATTGCGAGAGGCAGTTGGACATCCCCCGAGGGGTCCCGGATTGGAGAGGGTGCAGGCCAGGCTGAGGGGACCCCCCTCCTCCCTCTGTGCATGAATTTTGTGCACTGGGCCTCTAGTTAATATATAAAAATGCCATCGATTTCTGGGTGTTAATTTGTATCCTGTTATGTTGCCAAATTCATTTATTAAATCTAGCAGCTTTTTGGTGGAGTCTTTAGGGTTTTCTATGTACAATATCATGTCGTCTTCTGCGATTAGTGAGAGTTTTACTTCTTTCCAATTTGGATGCCTTTTTTTTCTTCTTGTCTGATTGCTGTGGCTAGGACTTATAGTACTATGTTGAAGAAGAGTGATGAGAGCAGACATCCCTGTCTTTTTCCTGTTCTTAGAAGGATTGGTTTTAGTTTTTGTCCATTGAGTGTGATGTTGACTGTAGGTTTGTCATATATGGCCTTTATTATGTTGAGGTATGATTCCTCTATTCCAACTTTGCTGAGAGATTTTAAGCAAAACGGGTGTTGTAATTTGTCAAATGCTTTTTCAGTGTCAGTTGATTTGATCATGTGATTTTTGTCTTCCAATTTGTTTAATGTTAAATTCTCTTTTTAATGGATAACACAAAGTGGTAAGAACCAGGCCTTTCTAAATTGATTTAACAATATGAATGTGGGTAGACCAGAAATATTTTTATATTGGTTATCCTAAAACACTGTAACTCTATCTATCTATCTATCTATCTATCTATCAATCAATCTATCTATAAATAAATAAGTAGTTCTGTGGTTTCTCTCTAAATCGAATGAATGAATGAATAAATTAATAAAATCTGCTCTGCTTTGGGAAACATTTGTCAGTTGAAATGCCAGAGACAAATATGTTTGCACCATGTGGATTTTACCTTTCCCAAGACATATTTTTTCGTTCTTTAGTTAGGTAATTTGTAGGAACTTTGTGGAATGAATACTGGTTTCATTCAGGAGACCCACTTTTTCCTCGTTGGCTCAGAGTTTCTCTGCTGTGCACTAACAGGCGGTTTGCAGTGGGTGATTTCTAGGATCTTTCCTACACTTGAGTTGTACAGTTCTAAAGAATGGATTCTAGAGCCAGACAGACCTACATTTCTATCTTGGTTTTCCTATTTGGATGCCATGTAACCTGGGAAAGTTATTTAATTTCTTATCTGTAAAACCAAAATAATATTTCATGTCGGGTTGTTTTAAGGAGTCAAAATGATAACATATGTAAAACACTTATTCTGGTACTTAACATGGAAGAGTTGATGGATATATTTGTTGAAAACAAACCCCAAGACCTGTTGAGCACTTAGATTATGTTGACTAAATGCCACTTAGTTGATTTAACAATCTGTTACTTACACTCAGTAAGCAAAATGCTTTCCAGCCTAGCTATTAACTGAGTTCTGAGCATTTTTAGATCTAGAGAACTCTCAACAGTTGAAACTTTGAGGCAAACTCATTTAGTTGGGTGTTGTTCCCTTTGTTCTAGTTAAGCAAAGATGTTAGTTCTACTTGATGTGGTAGGAACTGCAGTTCTCTGTTGAAGTGAGTTCTTTATCCAGCATTCTGATCTCTGTGTTTGGCTTTCCTTTGGCTTACTAATAAACTACTAGGAACTTACAGGTGATTTGATTGGTGCTTCATGAGCACATTCCTAAATAGTTAACATGTTCTTTCTTCAAATTTTCAATGTAATTGTTCACAGGGGAATTATAGTATATGAATTTTCTCTAGGAAGCTGAATTTCTGCTATTTAACAGCACACAATTTTCATATGAAAGTATGGACATTTGAAGATTTACTTATATGCTAAATATTCTTAGAGCTCTGAAGAAGAGTGGGTTGAGGCTGTTCCACCCCAGACTCCTGGCAAGGAAAAGGCCTGGAAACTAAAAGGTGAAAAGTCAGAAAAAGAAGACAACCAAGGAATTCGGGTAAGCCACCTGATTTTAAACAAAGAAGTGTGAACTTGTAAGAATAGATTAGTATTAAATGAAAGATGATTATAATTTATTAATTAGAAAAATTAGACTTTGGAAACCATATACTTTTATAAATTCTTTTGGCAGTAATGCTGTTTGCTGAGCCTTTAGACTCCCCTCCTTCTCCTGTGAGAAAGTAAGTGCTCATCTCTGTTCTGATTCCTCTAGAACAGCGGTTCTCAACCTGTGGGTCGCGACCCCTTTGGCGAACGACCCTTTCACAGTGGTCGCCTAAGACAATCCTGCATATCAGATAATTTACATTACGATTCATAACAGTAACATTACAGTTATGAAGTAGCAACGAAAATAATTTTATGGTTGGGTCACAACATGAGGAACTGTATTTAAAGGGCCAGAAGGTTGAGAATCACTGCTCTAGAAAGTTTCCTGCCTCTGGTTCTCGATAGAGCAGGGGCACTTTCTCCTGTGTACTTGAGGCCTGTACTGTTATCTTTATCTGACCTTTCTACTGTGAGTAGAGTTTCATCACAGTTTTCTTTTCCTTCTCCTCATGTCATAATTTTCATAGCAATACTTAGAATTGGCTAGTTCACAGATTTTGGGTTATTGTTCATTTGCTTGAGGAAGAAATGCTATTTATACACTATCAGCCACAGGGAAGAAAGAATGGTGAAAAGGAACTAATGGTGAAAAGGAACTAACTGATCTGGATGCCTTACACTTGTTCTCTTGTTTATGCCTAAAGCAGTCCTGAAAAGTAGGGGTTTTATTCTATTTTACAGGGGAGAGAATAAGGCTTAGAGAGACTAAGAAACTTGCTTTAAGTTAAATAGTCATGTAGGATTCAATCTAGGTTCAACTGCCTCCAAAGTGCCTACTCTTTCTACTAAGTGTGTAGTATTTTAATTAATTTAGATCAAAATGACTTTTTTTTTTAACAGAGGGATGAGTGGATGACTGTTGATTTTATGTCTGTTAAAACTGTGTCATCATCATCACTCAAAGCTGAAAAAGAAACAAAAAAGAAAATAGAGCAAGCAAAAACCCAAGCGCTTGAACAGGTAAGATACTTAAAATACTTTAACTTTCTAATTTGCCTCAATAAACCGATAAAATATTTATATGAATGCAGTTTTACTTGTAAGATATTATTTTTTGTGGTATTTTATAAAAATTAGTGGTAACAACTGTGAATTATAAGTTCTTTTAAAATAAGTTTCCTGTAGGAAGTAAATTTAAAAGTATACTAGATTGATAAATCTGGGCATATTTAGTTGAGTAATAATTGAGTTTGATTTATGGCTGGATTCATAGGATTTAGGGCTTGAACTGTGCTACCTGTGTGGTCTGAAAACCTTTCAGGTGAGAATTTATTTTAAAGTATTCTTGGGTTGGTAGTCCCTTGAAGTGCTTGGCAGAAATAACCACCAGTCCTTTCTGGAGGAGTATCACACTGTCAATTTACACATCATATGTTTCCCAGAAATGAGTTCTATGGAATGTATGCTCACAATCTAAAATCATAAAATACATGAAAATACAAGGATTGTCCATGAATAAGAGTTAATCTCAAACACTAAATAGCAGAAACCTTTATCTGTTGGAATATTGAAGAGCTTTACATAATAACAAGTATAGAAAATATGAATGAAAGATTAGGAGACAGATTTGAGAGTCAATAAGAGCTTATAGAAATGAAGATTATTACAGTTGAAATCAGAAAGTCAGTAAATGGTTAAACAACCTATGGAATACAGCCGAAGAGAAAATTAGTGAAAAAGAAGAGTCTAAGAATTTACTCTGGGTGCAGCATAGAGGGACCAATAAAGGAAAAATATGAAAGAGTGATAATACAATATGATCAGTGATTTTTTTTCCAGTTTAATTTTAATTCTGAAAATGTAGGTGTGGTTAATTATATTGACTGATAATTAAGCAGCTGTTCATAAGGAATATTGGAAGCTAAGGGTTTTTGGAATATTTTGACTAAGTTCTGTAAAATGTCTTTATCTCTGAGTTAGACTTGAAGGAGTTGGGACTTCCTGTACAAAAAGTAAGAGGGAAAGTACAGTAGGGGGATAATCAGTGAATAGTGGAGCAAGAAAGGGGAGCTGTGTAAAATCTGGAAGTTGATCTTACCCATTGGCATTACATACTTGCTTCTGAAATAATGCTGTGCTACTTGTGAGCATTGACAGTCTGCTTTGCTAGTCTCTGTTGACTTGTGGTCTTATGTTTTGCTGATATTCAGGCCTGTTATCCATATCAAACAGTAGAACATAGTAAACTCTTGAATATCTTTAATAGATTTAATAGTGATTAGATTTTCTTAGAAATACTTTTAATAAAAGTGCTTTCACTTTCTTAAGACTCTAATACTTTTGTTGTGCTTATTTTTAAAAAATAATTCTTTATTGTTGAAAGTATTACATATGTCCCTGTTTTTAACCCATTGACCCCCTCCAGCCTGCCTCTGCCCCCCACACAAGGCCTTCAGCACCCTATTGTTTGTGTCCATGGGTTATGCTGATAGGAATCCAAGGTCTTTGGTTGATTCCCCCCCCCCCCCCCCCCCCCGAGATTCTGCACTCTGTTCCATGCTCCCATGTCTCTGGATTCACTCCATTCATCAGTTTATTTTGTTACTTAGATTTTACATATGAGTGTGATCATGTGATACTTGTCTTTCTCTGACTGACTTATTTCACTTAGCATAATACTCTTCAGGTCCGTCCATGCTGTCTCAAAGGGTAAGAGATTCTTCTTTTTTACTGCTGCATAGTATTCCATTGTATAAAGGCACAACAGCTTTTTTATCCATTCGTCTATTGTTGGGCACTTGGGCTGTTTCCAGATCTTAGCTATTATAAACTGGGCTGCTATGAACATAGGGATGCATATATTCTTTCTTTTCTTTTTTTTTTAAATTTAAATTCTTTATTGTTTAAAGTATTACATATGTCTCCTTTTCTCCCCATTGACCTCTCCCTGGCCATTCCCACCCCCCAGCACATGCTCTCACTCCCCTACTGTCTGGGTCCATGGGTTATGCTTATATGCATGCATATAAGTTCTTTGATTGATCTCTTACCCCCCGTTCCCCACCTTCCCTCTGAGGTTGAACAGTCTGTTTGATGCTTGTCTGTCTCTGGATCTATTTTTTGTTCATCAGTTTATGTTGTTCCCCATATTCCACAAATGAGTGAGATCATGTGATACTTATCTTTCTCCAACTAGCTTACTTCGCTTAACATAATGCTCTCCAGGTCCATCCATGCTGTTGCGAATGGTAAGAGTTCTTTCTTTTTTACAGCAGCATAGTATTCCATCATGTAGATGTACTGCCGCTTTTTAATCCACTCATCTGCTGATGGGCACTTAGGCTGTTTCCAAATCTTAGCTATTGTGAGTGGTGCTGCTATGAACATAAGGGTGCATATATCCTTTCTGATTGGTGTTCCTGGTTTCTTGGGATATATTCCTAGAAGTGGGTTTACTGGATTAAATGGGAGTTCCATTTTTAAATTTTTGAGGAAACTCCATACTGTTTTCCACAGTGGCTGCACCAGTCTGCATTCCCACCAGCAGTGCACTAGGGTTTCTCACCAGCACTTGTCGTTTGTTGATTTGTTGATGATAGCCATTCTGACAGATGTGAGTTGGTACCTCATTGTTGTTTTGATTTGCATCTCTCGGATGATTAGTAACTTTGAGTATGTTTTCATAGGTCTCTTGGTCTTCTGTATGTATACTTTTGAAGAGTGTCTATTCAGGTCCTTTGCCCATTTTTTTGATTGGATTGTTTATCTCCCTTTTGTTAAGTTGTATGAGTTCCCTATAAATTTTGGAGGTTAGACCCTTACCGGATATAACATTGGCAAATATGCTCTCCCATGCAGTGGGCTCTCTTTTTGTTTTATTGATGGTTTCTTTTGCTGTGCAGAAGCTTTTTATTTTGATGTAGTCCCATTTGTTTATTTTCTCCTCAGTTTCCATTGTCCTAGGAGTTGTATCGGTAAAGATATTGCTACGACATACGTCTGATATTTTGCTTCCTATGGATTCTTCTAAGATTTTTATGGTTTTCTGTCTTATGTTTAAGTCCTTTATCCATTTTGAGTTTATTTTTGTGTATGGTGTAAGTTGGTGGTTTAGTTTCATTTTTTTTTTTTTTGCCCGTGTCTGTCCAATTTTCCCAACACCATTTATTGAAGAGACTGTCTTGACTCCATTGTATGCTCTTGCTTCCTTTGTCAAATATTAATTGAGCACAATGGCTTGGGTTTATTTCTGGGTTCTCTGTTTTATTCCATTTGTCTTTATGTCTGTTCTTGTGCCAGTACTAGGCAGTTTTGAGAACAGTGGCTTTGTAATATAACTTGATATGTGGTATTGTGATCCCTCCAACTTTGTTTCTTTCTCAGAATTGCTGTGGCTATGAATTTTTGGAGAGTTTGTTCTAGGTCTGTGAAATATGCCGTTGGTATTTTAATGGGGAGTGCATTGAACCTATAGATTGCTTTGGGTAGTATGGACATTTTAGTGTTGTTGATTCTATCAATCCATGAACATGGTATATTCTTCCATTTGTTTAATGTCCTCTATCTCTTTTTTCAACGTCTTATAGTTTTCCAAGCTGTATACAGGTCTTTTACCTCCTTAGTTAAGTTTATTCCTAGGTATCTTAATTTTTTTGTTGCAATGGTAAATGGGATTTTTTCTTTAAAAAAATATATTTTATTGATTTTTTACAGAGAGGAAGGGAGAGGGATAGAGAGTTAGAAACATTGATGAGAGAGAAACATCGATCACTTGCCTCCTGCACACTCCCTACTGGGGATGTGCCTGCAACCAAGGTACATGCCCTTGACTGGAATCCAACCTGGGACCCTTTAGTCCACAGGTCAGCGCTCTATCCACTGAGCTAAACCAGTTAGGGCTGGGATTGTTTTTTTACTTTCTCTTTCTGTGAGTTCATTATTGATGTCTAAAAAAGCCATAGATATCTGGGTGTTAATTTTGTATCCTGCTACATTGCCAAATTCATTTATTAAGTCTAGTAGTTTTTTTTGATGGATTCTTTAGGGTTTTCTATGTACAATATCATGTCATCTTGAAAAATGACAGTTTTACTTCTTTTCCAATATGGATGTCTTTTATTTCTTCTTCTTGTCTGATTGCTGTGGCTAGCACTTCCAATACTGTGTCGAACAGGAGTGATGAGAATGGGCATCCCTGTCTTGTTCCTGTTCTTAGGGGAAATGGTTTTAGTTTTTGCCCATTGAGTATGATGTTGGCTGTAGGTTTGTCATTATGGCCTTTATCATATTGAGATACTCTCCCTCGATTTCCACTTTGCTGAGAGTTTTTATCCAAAATGGGTGTTGGATTTTGTCGAATGCTTTCTCTGCGTCTATTGATATGATCATGTGATTTTTAAAAAATATATTTTTATTGATTTCAGAGAGGAATTAAGAGGGAAAGAGAGAGAAAAGAAACATCAATGATGAGAGAGAATCATTGACTGGCTTCCTCCTGCATGCCCCCCACTGGGGATCAAGCCTGCAACCCAGGCATATGTCCTTGACTGAAATCGAACCTGGGACCCTTCAGTCCGCAGGCCGATGCTCTATCCACCGAGCCAAACCGGCTAGGCGCAGCGGATCTCAACCTGTGGGTAGCAAAATTACAGTTATGAAGTAGCAATGAAAATAATTTTATGGTTGGGGGTCACCACAACATGAGGAACTGTATTAAAGGGTCGAGGCATTAGGAAGGTTGAGAACCACTGGCGCTAGGGCAAACATGTGATTTTTGTCTTTCAATCTGTTTATGTGATATATCACGTTTATTGATTTACAAATATTGTACCAGCCTTGCATCCTGTAATAAATCCTACTTGTTTGTGGTATATGATATTTTTAATATATTGCTGGATCCGATTTGCTGATATTTTGTTGAGGATTTTAGTATCTATTTTCATGAGGGATATTGGCCTGTAATTCTCTTTCTTTGTAGTGTCTCTATCTGATTTTGGAATTAGGATAATGCTGGCCTCATA